TAATTATAGTGGTCTATTCTGTCAATTTTAAACGCTTTCATTCAATTAATATTCCGAACTTATTTTGCCATCATTTTCCATTCCATTTTTCAATAAGTTGAGAGATTTTTCAATGTGATCGGTACACGGGTAGTACACCACATGTCACTATATAAATGATTGAATATGTGTGATGAAAAGTTAATAACTTAAAAAATTAAATTTCCCACCACATGTATAAAAATATGTGATGTACCACCGTGTTCTGATCACAATAAAAAAATTTCTCGTTCTAGTCCTGTTTTGAATTATGAAAATTTTGATGGCTTTCCACTGAGCTTTAGTTGTATATGGGAATCACAGGAATCCATCCCAATCACTTAAAATCCTTACCTCTCTTTTCACTTTTCGAATTAAATAAAACTTCTTGTTTGCTTGGGAAAGATCATTTGAGTATTCCCGTGACACTGTCTCTCTCTTTCATTTTCCCCATAGCTGTCCCTCTGGACAGCACAAATTAAATTAAAATTTGTAAATATATACACACACATAAAGAAACAGCCTCTTAGCATAAAATTTTGTTTTATTGTAGCAAAAATGAGATAGATATAAATGACATGCAGGGAACTATATATGTATTCACCACAGAAGATCTCTCGTATATTTTACTGTTTCTCTCATTTTTGCTTCAGAAAACGAAGATCATGTTATAAGTATAGTCGTCTCGACGGTTATATTGTCCCATTTTTACTGAAGTAAAACGCCATCTCTGCTAAAAATAGCTCGTAAATCTATATTTGTCCCAGAGCTCAAAAGCACCATCATATATTTCCCTTTTTTTTACTCTTTTCCACACTCACATAAATGGGAATTAGGGATGTCCCATTCATGCTGGCAATTATCTTGCATCTCATCAACAGCATATAGGAAAAAACTCATCAACCTTAAATGTCAACATCCATATCCAACAAACATATCCACATTTGTTTTTTCACGGCGATAACCTGAAACATCCACTTATATTAGTCGTGGTGGAATTATTGGCGTTCATCAAGAAATTTTAGATATTATAATAACGACACTGATGAGCAAGACATCAAAGAGTAGAAACGAAATAGGTCGTTGTTCTTGTTTACTGTCTACAGTGTTGTGGCCAGAGTTTTGTGCCAGAAGTGCCACGTGAACAGTCAAATGATTCGTAAAGGGACATAATATTAGACATAAATTAGAAGTTAAAAATGTCACAATTAGAGCCTGATTATAACACCAAATGTATGGTGCTTAAGAAAGAAAACAAATAGAAAGCTTTCAAATAAGAAATGCATGGCATACACACACACACACACACACACACACACACACACACATAGTGTAGTGATCAAGGGGCTTGTTTGGAAGTACACACACACACATAGTGTAGTGATCAAGGGGCTTGTTTGGAAGTATTTTTAGAATGATTGAAAATCTTTTAGAGAAAGTGTTTCTGAATTCCAAAAGCACTTAAAGTATTTCATACAAGAAGCACCAATTATGGGCTTCTTGCAGGAAGCACTTCAAGTGTTTTTCCAAGATTCACTTGCATTTTTATTAAACATTAATTCCAAAAATATTTCACAAAAAAACTCTTTTAGCTGGTCCAACGAATCTTAGGTTTAATAAGTAGATTAATTACATGCATCCAACCGTGGCCTTCAAGTGTTTTCTTTTTAATTTTTTTTCTCTTTGGAGCATAGACATGGCATTAAACCCTAGCTAGAATTTTGTAGAAAATGGTGGACCATGTGTGGTCAAGGAGAAGTGGTAAACAGTCAAGGCCTTGGCATAAAAAGACAGTCGTGGAATCTGGAATTTCTGGTAGAAGATCAAATTCGATCTCAATTTCTAAATGGGAAAATGGTGTCCACTATGAGCAAATTCTTGTGCTTGTAGTTATTTGACAAGACAATAATTATTTGTAAAAAAATAAAAATAAAAAATAAAAAACCAATTTAGGTTTTGTTATTGACATTTGATAATGAGAGGTACAGATACATAATCAATGAAAGATGGGCTCAATCCATCCTATGTTTTCAATTCAGCCAAAATTTTCACTGGATTACGTTTTAAACACTAGTCTTCTCTTTTGGTAGGGATTTCGGAACACGGGACGGAACACCACATGTCATATACAATTGGAGAACTTTTTTTTTTTAAAAAAGTTTCCAGCCAGTTGTATATTAATATGATGTTCCGTTTCGTATTTCAGGCAACCTGAAAAATCCAGTCCACTTTTGGTTGAAAAAATCACCAACCTTTTTTCATTGTTCTTACGATTCCGTTTCACCCCGGCCCATTAACACTAACACGTACTCCACTTGTATAGGCCCAGTATTGTTATTATTACTGAATGGGGCCCATATTAGGTTCCGGGTCAAGGGAAGTGAAGCCCAGGTCCGAACAAGCGGTTCCTCAAGACTGCCAGTGCGTCCAAGTCTCTGGGAATCTTCGACTGAGAAAGCGAGGAAGAAGAAGAAGAAGACGACGACGACGACGGAGGGATGACGGTGTTTCACTTCTTCAACTGCGCAATTCTGACGTTCGGCCCTCACGCCGTCTACTACTCCGCCACTCCGCTGTACGCCCGTCCTACTCTCCTCTTTTTCTTTCGGATCTTTTACGCTCTCATATATCACTCCCAGTTCACTTCGTCTTCTTCCCCAAGTCAAAACCCTAACTCGTTTGTACGATTCACTTGTGCAGATCGGAGTACGATACGCTCGGGACTTCCGTCAAAGCAGCTCTGGTTTATCTCGGCACAGCTTTAGTGAAGGTCCGTTAGCATTAATTCGTAGTTAATTCAACTGATATGCTTAGAAAAATCACATTTTTATGTAAAGTTTTAGTAAATTAGATTTGATTTCAACAGAAATGGCTGCTGATGGTTTTTGTTTGTTAAATCTGTGTTCTGCAGCTGGTTTGTTTGGCAACTTTTCTGAACGTATCTGACAGTGAGAGCTTCGATCCGTATCAGGTATTTTCTATATTGGTTTCAGTTGAAATGTATGTTTCCGAATAGAAGTGTCGATTTTCGATAAGTTCATGCTGCTTCCCATGTTTGGAAATGAAGTTTTATTGTAATTTGGCTAGTTTTGCATTTGAAGATTATGAATTTCGCCTGAAATCAGCAAATGCTTAATGCCCTTTTTCGGGTTTCAGGAATTGTTGAAAGCTCTGATCGGTTTTATAGACGTTGCTGGACTTTACTTCGCATTGACCCAGTTGACTCACAGGAATATCTCTCAGAATCATAAATTTCAGGCGGTGGGACTTGGTGAGTAGAACCTGATCAAGCCTGTGGAAAACAAAAACCATAAGCTGCTTTTCATTTTCTAGAACAATTTTGAAGCTTTTCTTGTTCCCTCTTTGCAGGATGGGCTTTTGCTGATTCTGTTCTCCATAGACTGGCACCGCTATGGTTGGGCGCTAGAGGACTAGAATTCACTTGGGATTATGTTCTCCAAGGCCTTGAAGCAAATGCCAATCTGGTATTCAGTCGTTTTGTTTCTTTCTTTTTTTTCCATTGTAGTTTTCTTACGGTCTTACCTACCATGTCGGCTAGAATGCTCGTTGATAGGCTTGTGGGTATAGAATGCTAATATTCCCTATGAGAGTCTGAAAGTGACAATGATTTCATGTTAGGCATACCTCAAATGATGATGTATATGTTGCTTCTTTTTTACTAACTTGACTAATACAACTTCATGGCTTTTTCTTCTTTAATTTGAGTAATGGAGTAAATTTTCCTCTCTCTGTTAATAAGCTCGTGTTAACTCTCTTTGTTTAGGTCTTGAGTATATCTCTTGCCGCATTTGGATCTTTGATATGGCTTCGGAAAAACAAGCCTAGGACGTTGGTTCCTTTGATATACATATGTGCAGGATTGGTGGCAACCATGCCATCTATCACAAGGTCAGCTTCTTAACTTCCCTTAGTTTTACCACTACTTGAAAATTCTTTGCTTTTAACATCTACTCATTGCTACGACGCATTGATACCCTCAGTAGTTATATCTCTTTCCCTTTCCCTTAAAAATAGCGATAATTCTCTCTCCCACAAATTCTGATCCTATCTTCCCCTTTCATTTCAAATTCTGATCGATAGGGTTGGTTCCGTTCATCAATTGTCAATGAAACAACTAGATAGCACTCTTTTAAGCTTCTCTCGTCTAACCCGTGCGTTGTTTGTACAGCTATCTGTCGCGAGGCTGGGGTTGGCACTTCCTGGACGTGGTAGTGTTTGAACTTGGTACCTCTCTAGTGATGGCTCTCATCAGTTGGTGGCTCGTTGCTCAATGTCAGAGACCCTCTGCCTGAAACAACCGGTCATAATCTCTCAACATTGGACTACCAGTCAGAAAGGGTCTCCAGGATTAGAATATCCTCCGTTCTCAGTTTCTTCGAATGGTTACCATGCGGTTTCAATATTTCAAATTGACCTTTACTGACTTCGCGAACTGAGAGCGTATTTGTTGTAACTTTATATCAGTTTCCACTGGTGTACTCACCAAAATTTTTGGTTGATGTTGGAGATAAGTAGGGTTATATCGCAAACTGAAAGCGTATTTGTTGTAACTTTATATCAGTTTCCACTGGTGTACTACCAATTGGGGTCTGATCCACATATTGTTGATGTTGGAGATAAGTAGGGTTGTATCGCAAACTGAAAGCGTATTTGTTGTAACTTTATATCAGTTTCCACTTGTGTACTACCAATTGGGGTCTGATCCACATATTGTTGGTAGCTGTATTTTCCACCCCTCTTTCTCCCCCATATGACCTGGTTCTCGTTGATGAAATCTTTCGTTCACTTTTTATACACCGATTTGTCATAGGCATGTCACCGTCTTGCGCAGGTTGCACGAAATCTCTTTGTTTTTCAGTTCCATTCAAACATGAACACTGTAAGAACTTGATATAACGAACTATAAACACAAATTGCAGGACAACGAAAATTAGGACGAGTAGATGGTGGAGAACAAAGAATCAACAAGCTTGATCGTTAAGTTATTTCATCACAGTCGGATTCGGCTACAAAATGCTTCTTTTCGGAGAAGGATAACAAATCCAACTGCGACCTTAAACCCTAAACAGGCAAGCAGATTTTGCCACCACTGCATTAAGAAGTAACGCAATGTGAAAAATTGCAGTTCATTGGCTTTAACCAGAGACATCTGGGGATGTAAGTAGCACATTGCCTCTGAAAATATGAAGTTGCAGTACACCTCGCTTCACAAACTCCAAAACGATGTCGTCCCCAGGAGAAATCTCGTTTGCCCTAACACAAGCTGCCCATCCCCGTGCCATCTGCACGCGGTGATCTGCCCTGACATGAAGTTGAGCAAGCCATGATCTCCGGGTCGGATCTTGAAGCGTTACAGTCTCTCTACTCGGAAGCCCTGCGTCGCTTACTAGTCCTTCAGCTAGGGCTACGTGCTTCGGAATTGTCTGCATTTCGGAAAATAATCGGTACCAAAGGAGGAACAAAAACATAACATACATTTCAGAACAAATGTTTCAGAAACATGATCGTGTAAAGTACTGACCAAAATATTTCGATTAAATTTCTTCAAAGTTTTCGTAAACCATGTATTCTCCGATTTAAACAAGACGGATCGAGTTGATGTTTCCGCTAAATGAACACTTGCAGGTCTCTCTATCCGCACGACATCATCGACTGCATGGTAAAAAATCGAGACAAGATATGAGAAAGAACTATAAGAGTATATAACTTCTAAGCAACGGGAAAGTCACTGTAATTTAAAATGCATGGCAGTGCGTGATTGGTTTGAAATGCCGATATTAAGGAAAGAGTATATAACTCACCAGTTCTGCTGTCGGCAAGATTACTACTTGCCCTCTTGGCAGCTTCTTCGACATTCTTCTCGCAACAAGTTCGATCAAAGATGGTGACGTCAAACTCTGATCCGCCACCGTATTCGAAGACCAGAAAGTCTCCATGTTCTAGAAAATGATCCTTCACAAAAACCTTCCAACCTTTTCGGAAGAACAAGCCATCCTCTTTCTGTTTAAGTTTCACACCCCAGCAGTCCCCACTAGGGTTTCTGAGAGTACATTTCCGAAGCGATCGTCCTCCGAAGTTCTTGATAAACGCAGACGGTATACGCTGCAGAAGTTAAGAAACAAAGTAAATTAGAAAAAACACACCGATAACTAATAAGTTTTATACAAAACACTTCGACGTTACCAGATGCTTGGAGAAGTCACCGACAAGAAGCGCTCTAAATGCTGGTGTCTCTAGAGCTTTCTTTAGCTTCTCATCCATGTTTGCCCCTAGAGTTCACCGGAAAAGTAAAAACGCCAACCAGAACCACATGGTTGAAAGTTGCGGATTTGGATCCTCTCCTGAGCTAATAGAGAGGATGCTCGTAACCAAGCATCATGGACTGTTGGATTTTTATCGAACGGCTACAAAGAAAGTTCTTTTAAAATTATAATAATTATAGCCGTTAGATAAATATTCAACGATTCATGGTCAAAAGGATCCTCTCTATTAGCTCAGAGGATCCAAATCCAAAAGTTGAGGCAGAAGATGGACTATTGACTACTAAGCTAGCTAGGGGTTTTACTTCGAGATGTGATGAGATACCGAGCGGAAATGACCATTGACTATAAGCCGATTTGACAAGTCATAAGAATCCATCAGAAAGACGAGCCGTATGTTGCACTTTGGTCGTCTTGTAAATCATGGCACAATTTGCAGACGTGAGTGTAATTACATTTAAAACTAGATGTGTGTTTTTGTTGTTTATTAAGCGTAATTATTGACATAATTTTTGCTCTATATTGAGTGTAACTACATTGTTTAGAGTAAATGTATTTTTTATTATGCACAGAGTGTAAATCTCTAATTATGCTTTACATTAGTTCTACGTAAAATATCCTTTATATCAAGAGACTCAATTTCTACCCTGTCTTTTTTAGTTGACTGTCTTTCAATATGATTTGCTACGCTCCTATTGGAAATGGGGTTTTTCTTACTAAAAGGACTCAGAGCGTACATAATTTAACTTTAAAAGAATGTTCCTTCTCAAAGTTTTCAATGTCCTGCTTAGTTACAAGTTTTACGGTAATCTTGATTTGGGGTACTTTGTTAGTTCAGTATGTTTTCTTCGGCCTGCCGCGGGTTTCTTCTCTTTTGGCATTTTATTTGTTGCAACCGTACAAATTGTATTAAACCTTTCAACAAGTCCAATTCAATTCTGCTTAAGAATAAACAAGCATCAATTAGGACCATTGATCTCACGTTTCAACCAAAGTTATCCCTTGCTACACTTTCATGTCGAATGCCGATCATAAGAAAACTCTAAAGAGCGAATGTAATGATCCTAGTCAAATGTATTGCACACACCATTACACCAGCGAGTCTGCTACTCGATACAAAAATGCAGAAACTTCTCTCTTTAATGCTGCACGCATTTACCAAACTGAATTCACCGGAGGAAAAAAAACCGTTAAAAGTGGTGACAAATCGACATGATTATGTGCAGGGAAAAGGAAAAAGCGGTCGCGCTCACAAAAATGTTCAGTGCAGTTCTATTGACATTCATGTTCATCACAGGAAGGGATGATTTAGGTTGTAGATGACAACACTCACCAATATTTAGTTAGCAGTCGCCATGACATGAAGAACGCAATCAGAGAAAAACAAAATGCAAATAGGAAAGCTCACCATATAACATGTATTTAGGGATGGTTGAGCTGGATCATGTGTCAGAGAGAAGGTATATTTCCAGTAGATTGCACGACCGCTATACTACATCAGATGTTGCTTGTCCGCCTAGATGGTCAAACCCCGTTTTACCAACACCGGAAATGTGCACTTGCATTTCATCCTTACCAACAAGCTCAAATATGCAAACATCTCCAAAGTTGATGTCATTTCCGCGTACAAACGCCATCCACCCTCCACAAAAAGTATGCACCACGCGCCCCTTTGAGTCTGGGACAGAGTTCACAGTCCAACATCCCCCCTTTGAGTTTCGAAGCAGAATCTCTGTTTTATAGTTGGGGAGGTATTCTGTGGAAAACTGGTAAGGGACTTTCTGCAAAATAATAACCAATCTATAAGTACGAACCATGCAAAAGCAATCTTCAAAATAACAGTACAAACATTTGTGCAGGAATTGACAAGGCTCACCAATGTATACGATCCACTGATGTTGAACTTCTTCATGATTTTCACAAAATTCGGGAAACACGAAGTGAACGATCGAGCTACTCTTTCTTCATCAAGTGTTAACTTGATTCTCAAACCCCTTTTTTGTGAATCTAGTTCATCTTCAACAACTTTTTTCCTGCGATTAACTGTCTCCATTTAATGGTTCAGAAACCAGTTTAAGTTAGAAAAATGAAGGTGCCCTTGACATCAACCACAACCACTTTAATCAATATTATTATCATGCGTTTCTTAAACACGTTGAAAATTTAATTACGTTTGCCTGAGTTTATAGATAAAAGTATAGCATGTAAATCTAGATGAACTTCACGCTCATTTCAATCCAAACATGGATAGCACTCATGGCCCCATCTTTGCAAGAAATTGCTGACTTACCCAACTTTTTACTGGCAACTTTTGACTGAGAGAGTGCAACTTTAGTAAGAGATCTTGATGTGCTGCCATATTTCCTTGTATCATTAACGAAAGCAGGATCTTGATACATCTTTGATGATAGTTTATCAGCTATCTCTCTTATGCTCTTTGAATGGACTTTGGGAGAGTTCCCTTTAATTTTCTTTGACAAGCCTTTGATAGTTTTATGTGTAGTAACAGCTTGCCCCGGACTTAACCAACTAGATGTTTCTCCCTTTTGAATGTGGACACGGAATTCACACTCACGCACAAGTTCAAAAATGCAGATATCTCCCAGTTGTATGTCATTACAACGAACAAACGCCATCCATCCTCCACAGAGAGTATGACTTGTGTGCACTCTAGTACTTGGCACAGAATTGACAGTCCAACTTTCTCCTTTCCAATTTTGAAGGACAATCTTTACTTTGCAGTTTGGTAAATGTGCCACTGAAAATTTATACGGGATATTCTGCAAAACATAAATCAGTCAGTGAAAAAACAATCATACACGCGAACACCCACAACAACATGTGCGAACACATACATAAGTTCATACAAGAAAAGGGGGAAAAACTTTAACACTGAAAAATCTATCATGAGAACACCATATAGACTTCCAAGTGAACAGAAAAACAGAATACCGTGGACACTGTCCAGACGCCAAACCTGAACGAAGAAATGAGGAACTATCGGGACAACCTCTGGGTGATTGTGATTAATTCCACGGGAACCAGTAAGCAAGATTTTGCATGGTTTGAGGAATTATGGAAAAGAATTGACAACCAAATGGAAACAGTAGATCTTTTATTGGATGCATAAGTGCAGATAATTATAAAGGGACAGCACCTCAAAAAAGTGAATTGATGCAACACGTATACCTTACATAATAAACAAAACATTCCCTTATAAGAAGAAAAATATACAACAACAAAGCCAGAGGGAAGAACCAACCAGAGTATATGAACCACTGATGTTGAAACTTTTTATGATTCTCACGAAATAAGGGTTAGAGGAGCTAAACACTGGAGCTACTTCATGTGCTGATGACATCTGCATACAAACTCTACCACTAACATTTAATCCATCTCCTATTCCACACATATTTTGGATCGATGCCTTTGCTGTATTTGGAACAACATCCAAACCTGCAAGCAAGAATAAAAATATAACAAATGCATCTCTATGTTTTCAGTTTTGTTTGCACAGACGTAGTAAAACTCGTTATTTCAGGGTTGAAATTCTAGTGCACGTGAACTTTTTTATGTTATGCCTAGAATTTAATTGAAAGAAAACTTGGGCTCCTTGCATACTTTCACTCTAAAACAGTTAAAATTATCTGTAATACAAACAAATTACTATAAGAGGGAAAAAGAGAGAAACAAAAACAGGCAGACTTTGCAGAATTATCTGGTGACGGGAAAGTTGTCTTCGAGTGGAAAGAGCCAATAGATCAGTTGGTTTTCTTACCAGGCTTTTCATGAGGATTCGTTTCCTTCGAACAAGTTGCGTCTTCTCGGCCCTCATCAATGCATTCTGACTGGAGTTGAGACAAGCCGTTTCTCACCTTCTTCGCCGCACCATCAACCAGCTTATAGCCAGATGATGCGGCTTCCTCCCTTCCCCTTTTTCGTCCCACATACTTACACTTTTCAAAGTTGCGAGAGTCTTGGCCGTATCCAAAACGAAATGCAGCCTCTTTCTCGCACGCACTTTGATCGAAAATTAGCACGGTGAAACACAAATCAGCGTCGTAGCTAAAAACCAAGAAGTCACCACATTCCACATAATGGTCTCTCACAAATGCCGGCCACCCATGATGCAAGAACAAACCACCATTCTGTTGAATCAATTCAACACTCCACGCACTGCCGCTAGGACCAAACAACAAAACTAACCCGGACGTTCTGCCTTCCATGTGCCTCATAAATCTATCCGGGATTTTCTGTACCATAACAGTGCAATCGTATCACCATCCAAAAATGCAACAAACACTGACATTAACCCACCAATATTTAACTTGGCTCAACTCTGAAGATACAAAAATTATAACTTTTAACCATGAAATCCCAGTTGAAGTCTCTCTTCTGATCAGTAACAGAGTAAGATTTTCGCAGGAATACTAATACCAATATGCAATAAACAATTTACCTGCTTGCAACTTTAATGCACTAACCATAATTCCCAAATCCAAAGACTCTCACTTTACAAATTATTCAGCAAATTTTACACCCTAACCCTAATTCCCTACAACCCAGAACAAAATAAAATTTACCCAAAAACAGAAAACAATGGAAAATCAGAAGAGGAAGAAAATTACCAGTCTTTCGGAGCTCAAATCAGCAGAATAAAACGCAAAAAAATGAGGGCTCCTCACATTCCGAGCTTCCTTCGCCATTGAAATTAACTCTGCAAGTTTCAAACTCTAGACAGAAACCAGAATCTCTCAGTGAAATTTTCCGAGCAACCAAACAGGTCCTAACATTTTTCCTCGGAATTAAAATTAATCAAGCAAGAAGGAACAAAATTCAAGCTGTTATTTGTGATCGTGGGGAAATTTGGAGACAATTAAAGCCAGTAGCTTTCTCTCACTTGCTCCAGGTGCTCGTTGGAGGACATGCGGCGTGGTTTCACGCCGCCTGGTGGCGCGTGACTGCGCCAAGTCTCTGACAGACAATGCCACGTACCATTGGATCTCAGAAAAATCTGGTGCTTCAGAGTTTCATGATTTATGTTGCAGTCGAGATTTTTGATTGAATGTGGAAGCGCCACGTCATATGGGGAGGTAATTTGATCATTTTACTAGCGTCAATTAACAATTAACCGGTAGTTAATTTTTATTTTTATTTTTTTTAAACTAGCAATTGGCACAGGCTTTACATGTGCAATTAAAATTGTTTTTTTTATTTTATTACAATTTATGTTAATGAGCAGGGATGACAATTAAAAAAAAAAAGAGAGAGAAATACATCAAAGGAAGAGAAGGGGTCAGGAACGTGGGGAATGTCTGTCGGGAGAGGAAGAGGGGGGATAAAAGCAGGATTTAATTTTTTTTTTTTTAATTTTTTGAATAGGATAGGTCATATTTATATGGGGAAAGGGATCCTCTCCAGATTCTTTCAACCTGAGTTATGTAAGCGTAAAATTTGGGTCCTTGTAATTTGATTTAATAATTAAAATTATTATTATTTTAATAGAACCCCATGTTTTTAGCCGTTTGATCAAATTTTAAAAGTTTTAATTTATGGCTCAGGTGGAAGGGATCCTCCGGATCCCTTTCTTTTAAATGGCTGTGATGTTAGTATAAAAATAGTAAATTTTGTGTTAGGTGTAATTACTAAATTGTCCACGTTTTTTATTTTTGTTCAGTTCTAGTGAGAGGGTTAGAGTGGTAGTTTACTAAAGTTTTGATTGACAAACTGAATTTTATTAATATGTAGTTTAAATTACTACAAAGGTTAATCAAATTAAATAACTTGCATTTAAGAAAAATTGTGATATAAATAATGTATAATCAGTTGGTTTAACAATATCTCAATTTCTATTTGAACGGAGAAGTACTCAATCTTTCGTTGAGTAAAGAAAATCAAGTTCGATTGACATAAGTTCCATAACGATATATTGCAATTTACAATATTCAAAAAACACATTACTAATTGAATTGCTTGGAGACGATTTTATCCAAGGTGGCAAAGAAACAGTATGTATATATGTCGAACAAATAAAAATATCAACATAATAATATTATAAAAATAAATAAAAAATAAAAAACTAACGAAAAGTTCAAAAAATTTCCTTTTTAATGAAAAGTCTTTTTTAAAGATATAGTGAATAGTACCAGGAAAATGTATAAATATGGTTTTTCGTTAAAAGTGAACAGTACCGGAAGTGTTTTGTTAAACATTTCTTAAAAAAAACTCAAAATCTTATATAACTCAAATTAAGGAGTACTTAAATACAGAATTTAGTTATCAAGTCACACAGCATGAGTTTAATCTTCACAATATCCAGAAAACACATCAAATATGACGATAATTACTTTGGCACCCTACGTACTCGATAACATTGTCGGAAATCAAAAAACTTCAAAACCAACTGCTGATTCCGATCTGCGGGGGGTTATCTCGACGTCCATGAAAGCTGTTGAAATCGACCTGGACATCCGTTTGAGCTTGAATAAGCAGACCTCACCTTCCTTGAGACTGTTGGATGCATAGAACTTGTACCATCCCTTCGTATTTATGGCTAGACGATGATCAACAGCCTTCACTCTGCTTCCCCAACGACCTAGGCTCACCGGCCATAATCTTCCACGCGGATCATTGAGAATCAATTTCGATATGCTATGAAGGCCGTTTTCTCTTGCAAACCGTGCAGGAATGGTCTGCCATAAGCGCTCGCCAGATTAAGAAAGAATCCGAAAAGAAAAGGAAACTTCAGCACACTTTACAACTCCGCCTAGGGCTCTAATGAAAGCATGCTCGACATGAATAAGATGAAATTAACTTCAAAAAGTGTGGAAAGAAACAAACTCCGTAAGGATAAAGAAAGGTAGAGTGCTTACCACATAGGCCTTGCTAACGCACCCATGGGTTTTCGCCATTTTTATCTTGAACAGTTTCGCCGACGTTAACCATTTTGTTGTTTTCAAAAGCCCTTTTCCTGAAACGTAAGTCGAAAGCACCCACGGTTAGATGCAATGCAACATTATTAATATTTAAGTTTGTAAACCGATGTAAATCTTGGGGGGATATGGAAGAGAGTGACGATGAATTTTCCGCTGTGAGAACCACAATTCTGTAATAAAAGAAGCAAAATCATCCAACCTTTGGAACCGCGATGATGCTTATTGCTCCGCGCCTTAGAGGAAGTTGCCATCCTGTTGGCAGCTACACCGGAATCAGGTGGATACTTTTTTTCACATCCGCCAGAGTCGTAGGCAACCGCATTGAAGACCATGTCTCCTTTGTGTTCAGAAACTACAATGTCCTCTTCTTTTAAGCCATTACGCTTCGCAAACTCTTCCCAACCTTCTTCAAAAGCAAGCTTTCCATCACCGCTCCTACCGACTTTGACATCCCAGTATCCCAAACAGCTTTTAATAAGTGCTGTTTTTGGTTTCTTTTCACTTAGATTTCTACAGAAAGCTGGTGGAAGTCGCTGCTCATACGTACAGGAAAAATATCAAACCACATTTCGTAATCGTTCAATTTGACAGAAGAGCTTGAATAATACAATTACGTTACTGTGGAAGTTCTACCGGATGTGCAAACCAAGAAGCCAATGACAAAGCATCCATCTTTTGATAAATGAAACCCCATCAAAGAAAAGAGTAAGGAAGCATGTTTTGATTTAGCAAGGAATCCAATGACTGTTTTCATATAAGAAGCTATATATTTTATAAAGATACAACGATGCAACGAAAAGCGTACAAGTTGTCCATACGAAATCATCAAGATAATACACAAGTTCATCTAAAAACAATACAACCCCGTCGGACTCTAGTTACATTATCTACTATACTCTGACGGGGTATACAGGGAAATTAACTGTTCTTTGAATTTACTGTATAACCACATTTCCCACTTAAAATTTACTGTTTTTGGGAAGAAAAAAAATTAAAAGAAAACTATTAAAAAAAGTTTGAAAATTTTGAGTTAAGGACAAAATAAAGGATAAAATGAATAATATCATGATTGACTTTTTAATGTAAAAATGTGATTTTTTATTAAAATAGACAGTATCATAACCATTTCATTAAAGTTCCCAAAAAAATAATCTTTTCAATAAAAATACAAAGAAATTAATCCAAAAAATGGGTTACTCTGTGAAACAGGCATATATCTATACACATACATACATATATATATACATAGAGAGAGAGAGAGAGAGAGAGAGAGATAAAGAGAATCATACAAGTCTCTTTGTGCAGCCAGTCGCCAAACACTTAAAAAACTGGGTGAGCGGAGAAACTGCCGCAGCCATGAATCCTGATAAGAAAGAGCAATAAACGTAAACAAAAAGATGTGAAATTTGAACAGATGAACGAACGGCGGGTTGCTGTGGATTGAAACTGAAATTTCAGAAATCAAAAGCTCTGGTTTTTGGATTACTAGCTGAATGCAATGTTTATATAACGTTGAAGGGCCAATGGTAGCTCTCCAGCGCAGCTCTGGGTCGCGGTAAAGTGGTTGAAATCCATGGATGCTATTGGCTGGAGCTTGTACTTCAAGTTCATACTGTGCAGGGGCACCACCAGGTACGACGGCGGAAAGCCTGAAACTCTTGCGTCATCATCTTTGACTCTCTGCTACGCCGAACGGGCATTTGAAGAATCAGAGAAATTGGGCCTATTAAGTTTAATGGGCTTGATTGATAATAAGTAAAGGCCCATGTGATAATTGTTAATTTGCTATTTAGTCCTCACAGATAAACCCTAATACCTCACCATAGCAAGTTTTTGATGATGGGATGAAATGTTTTGTTTTTTAATTTTTGAGTGCTTTTGGTATTAAGAGATACGTTGATAGTACTGTTTGACTAGGTCAATTTTTACTGGGAATGGAACCAGTAAATTATTGAGCGAGATTAAAATTAAGAGAATCTCATGCTTTTGTAAGAGGTGTCCTGTAAATAACGTGGTCAGACATACCTATTTAAATTGTTATAGTATAATTTGAAAATCACAAGCATCAAGAACCATTAAACCATGAATTTGAATGTGTTTAGCTTATAAGTTACATGATTAAGTTATTTTTTCATTATTAAAATAAGGGGCTTTTCGATCTAGGTCCAAAAATAAAGGTAGTTTTTTAACTAAGTCCAATTATCCAATTACATATTTTTATACTAATTTTGCCCTTTTAGAAAAAAGTATTTAAATTCTTTAATTTTTGTATCATTTATTCAGTTTTTAATTTTGAATATTTAAATACTAACTAAAATATTATCTAGTAACCACCTAATGATGTTTACCTACAAAACCGATATAATTTAGTAACTACCTATTGTATAGGAAGAAAAATACTTTATACCAACAAAACAGATGTAATCTACCTACAAAACAAAAATAAACTACCTATTGTATAGGAAGAAAAATGCTTTATACCTACAAAATAGATATAACCTACCAACAAAATAAAAATAAACTACCTATTGTATAGGAAGAAAAATGCTGAACCTCCATGGCAAAACATTAGAATAGAAATATGATATAATATACCTCCATTAAAGGAACAAATACTAAACAAAAAAAAAAAGGAACAAATACTAAGTTTCAATTGCTATAACTAATCCTACAATTAAGGGATAAGTTAAACCACAAATAATCATATAATTAAGAAATTTTGAATATTTACTACAATTTATAAGTCTAAGGGATAAATATGGTACAAATTATAAATAAGCTTACGTGGAATATCAATTATTGGACCTATTTCAATGCAGTGGACTAATTGTACTAATGGCTCACAAAATTGGATCTATATCAAATTATCCCTTAAAATAAGTCCCCCGAGATCAAATCCGGCCTCTACAAAGGCTAATGATTCATGACCAATTAATTCAATTCGTCTTACTTCTACGTCAGAGTGGTGACGTCTCAAATTTGTTGTATTGTCATGTATTTGAACTTTTACAAGACACGTGATAACACCAGAAACACAAAAATTACAATAAAAATTAAAAATTGACAACAAAATAAACAAATTAATTTGCTCACAAGAAACTCTCCTGAGGATAAAAAAGAATAGACCATACAAAAGCTAGCATCCTTTCTTTCACTTCCTTTTCTTCAAAAACAGAGAAAATCATCCATGTAATTTACTTTACAAGTGTTACATTTCGGACTCCTCTACCGACGATAATTCATCCAGTACGACTTCAGCAAACGACGAATCGAGTAACTTGGCAACAAAAGCCCACATCTTATATACATCTTCAAAGTTGGTCAAGAATCCGAGCGATGCTGTCACAACTTCGACTCTAAAGAACATGTTCTTACCGCCTTGGCGCCCGTTAACCATTGGCTTGCACAAAGATGCGTCTGCCTGATCAAGTGCCCCGCAATGTTGCTGCTTTGGGCCATCCACAATTCGGACATGGCTAAGGATGCCAACGCCGAGAGATATGCCATTCTTTTCGGCCAATCTTTGTACGACTTCGGGGTGAACTAGCCCTCTTCCGCTGCTTTGCCTGACATTAAAAGCCACAGCGGCACCCCTTTCGTATTTGATCTTAGGACCATATATCTGCACAAGAGGCACTTCTGCACCTTCATCTGAACCAGGTAACCGAAGTTGAAGCAGTGAGGTGACTAGCCAATTGATGAGATATCGCAGTCTGAGGGTAGTTTTGTTCAGGCCTAACATATTGACATGATCAAGATAACGGCAAACTATCTCAGGCTCCCGCCTTTCCCACTCCTGCTCATCGCCATATTCTCTTTCACTCATGAACTCATCGTCCCCAAGGATAGTCATGGATGTTTCTCCAGGCTCCAAAATAAGGCTCGATTTTCCTCTGTGGTCGTCTTCTATGGTAAAAGACAACCTGTGACCCATGCTTGGCTCTCGATCACCTTCTTCTAAACCGAAAAATCTACCACCAGAAAATCTCTTTGTTTCCCTTCTTCCTAGAAGTCTGAAGTCACCCTCTGTCTCTCTCCTGATGGCACTATCTTTTGATTCTTGGAAAATTTCGGAGGTTGAGGAATTCTCAAAGTTGCTGTGTTTAAGACCAGAAGTCTGATTGTTCAGCCTGAATCCATCTTCGGTAGAAAGCAGCTTAGAATTGTTGGCCATTGAATCTTCCCGGATTTCAGGTTCTTCTTGAATCTCCCTACCATTTCCTGAGGCGGCATCTGTTTCAGCAAACATCTCTTCTTCAGGAATTCCCTTAACACGGTCCGGCTCATGTGACACCGATAACACAGCAGCATCGAAAGACAAAACAGGATCTTCATGCACTCTGAGGTTTGCCCCTTTATCATCATCATATATTGGGCTCTTTGGCAGCCTTGGTGTTACTTTCGGAGAGAAAATCTTGTTGATTTTCCTCCCCGAAAACCATGTTGGTGGCAAGGGCGAACCTGTTTTCAGTCTTGTGTGTTGGTCGGAATGATCAGAACCGAATGGACTCTGACCCAAATCAATCCAGTATGAATTGTCTGATGACTCATCCTCACTGAAGATTGGACTCTTCATAACGTCCCCAATCAAAATGCTCTCCGCACCATCCCTGTCCGAGTCCTGATCCATCTCCGTCTCAAAGCAGTCCCTCACCTGATTGGAAGTGAACACACCTGAAAAAGCAGGCATATGAGACTCCCCATGTGTTTCAGGCACTAATTCTTCATTACAGTTGACTGCATCATTCTCAATTCCACCCAATCCATCAAGACCATCCACAGAATCACTCAGGCACTGAGGAAAAACCGGAAGAATCCTCACAATTCCAGTCCCAGTCCGCCCACCTTGACTTTGCAGGCTCGCCATTACAGATTTCTTAATCAAAAGACAACCAAATCCAGTTGGGTCGGACCCAAACACCCTGTAAAATGATGTAATAATGAAATCCGGGCGAAAGAGCGACAGCCCTAGTGAATCCATGTCTTTAGGACCCAATGACCCCGCATCAAGCAAAACATGCCAATTGTTCTGTTGAGCAAGTGCCATCCACTGATACGAATACTTCGCCCCAGTCACTCTTGACTGAACCGGAAACACAAAGAGCCCGGTTGCAGAATCCTTCTTCCTCCTCTTCTTGTTTGCAATCTGCTTCTTCAGCTCCCTAGAGCAAAGCTTCAATGTTGGCCACTTGAACCATGAGCTATAAACCTTGGCACCTTTCTCTTTCGCCTTCTGCGCCATCCAGTTCACAGACTGGCTCTCATGATCAAACATTGTCAACAGCTTCTTATTCGTGCCGAAAGGGTACGATTCAGCTAGCAATTTAAATGCAGACCCTCTACTGACAGTAAAAACAAGACCATATTCGTTTTCGGGGATGTTCAAGTAATCCATAATCCTAGTTTTTACGTCATGTTCAACACAGCCTGTCTCAGCACTTCCATAGAGAGCATGGTTACTCAAATTCGCAGTTATTTCCGACAATGTAAACGAACATGTTTCCCAATACAGTTCAGTTTGAAGATTCGAAAACAACCCGAAACCACAGTAATCAAGACATACCTTTGCAAGCGATTCAGAGAGGTGACTGTACTCCTCTGCCCTCAAATGATCAATCTTTTCAGTAAACTGGAATTTTGGGTACATTGTCAGGAACTTGTTGAAGGCTTCACGGAGGTGAGGGATTGAATCCTCCGTGGAGAATGTCCGGTCCGCGGCGAGCGCCGTCGCGCGCAGAAACTCCTTCTGGGCGTGGAGCCTGGCGAGGGATCTCGACCGTCCAAAGCTGCCGTCTTGATTTGGGGTCTGGTCATAATCAATGTCTTGGGATTTGGAAAGCAACCCATCTTCTGATGCCTCCTCAAGAGCCTCCCGGAGCCTATTTTCTTGCAGCTGCCGGAGAACCGACGGCTTCCGCTTGGCGTCGACAGCCAAACCAGAACCGTTGTCTCTCCTCCTTCTGGTCTTCTTATCCATTAGTAGAGCTGCACAGTGGGATATTGGCTTCCATACTGAAAGATGCATATCAATCTCTCTCTCCTCTCTCTCTCTAAAATCAGTCTGATCACTGCTGCCCAGAATCAGCTAACCAGTCTGAAAGCAAAAGGGGTCTATGAAATTTGAAAAGTACTCAAATTTTGGAGCCTTCACTTTAAATTTCTACCTGAAACATTCAAACAACAAAGATAGATTCTTCCATTAAAACCCAGAACTTTATCGTGAGATCCGCAAGGGCAACTGGTCAGAAAAGGAAAAGGCAAAAAACATAAAGGACGTATCTGATAAGGAAGGAACTACTCACATTTAATAATCATCATCAAATGTGATCACAGAGAACATCTCCAACTTTTGAAAACCCATAAAGTAAACAAAACCCAATATTTTCCCAGAAAAAAAGATTCAAAACTCAGAATTCCCACAACACATCTGCTGTTCAAGTCTTTGATTCTTTGAACCAAACCATATAAAGATTTAGTCTTTGAAGGGGAATTGAAAGGTTAAAGAGGGAAAGAAAATGGTGCCCAGGAATCAAATCAAAAGACCCAAAAGAAAAAAGAAGAAGAGAGAGAGATTAAAGCAGGGAGAAAACCAAAGGCAGGAGAAAGAAATAGCTTCCTTCAACAACTCCCCTCCTCTCAACTACCAGTAGTTGTAGGAGTGATAGAAATACGAAAGAAGCAAATGGCTTGGCAACCCATCAAATGCTTTCATTTAATATGGGCACTCAATACGTACATTTCTGCATTTAATGCTTCCTGCTTTGCTTACCTCTCCACATTAAATACTCCCACCTCCCCTCCTCTCATTTCATTTTCCAGTTTAATTCAAACCCAACTCCAACAATATGATTTGAGCTCTCTCTCTCTCTCTCTCTCTCTCTCTCTGCAATTAAATTTGGAGGAGAATGTTTGAGAAAAGTTTGAGGGCTGCTTTGGCCTCGCGTACGTACCCCATTATGCACCCCATATAATCATAAGTTTGCTCCTCAGTGCGATGAGATATTTGTAAAAGGAGACATGAAAGTGAAACTTCGTACTTTATGATATAATCATTTTTCAAGTATCTTTAACACAACATGATGTAGACCTGGGCTAAACCCAACCATTTAAATATGAAAAAATAAAAAGGAAAAGAAATTGGGATGTGGGATGTGGGATGTGGGATAAGAGAAATTAGGATGTGAGTTAATCCTACTCCCCTAAAGATAGGTACCGGAAAGTCAAGCAATTTCGCATAAACTTACTGACAGTTGTTAGTCCACAGATTTGGATCCTCACCGAATCCCCTACCTGGGGATCGGTCCTAGGGATCAACAAACGTGGATCATTGATAAAAAATCGTGCGGTTATAATTAAATGTTTTTTATATTTTTAAAAATAAAATAATCTCATTTTGTGTGAAAAATATAAAAAAGAAAAAAATACCCACACAATTTTTTATCAACAGTTCACGTGCGTTGATCCCTAAGATACCCACAAAGGGGATCCGGCGATGATCCAAATCCTTAGTCCACTTTACCAGGTTAGCTCAATGCGTAATGTGAAAAAAAGTTTAGAACCCTAAATTATTTTATAAATTAACCAAGAAACTAAAATAAAAAAACACCATTGCAAATCAATTAATCATTTGGAAAGGTAGTCAACATAAATGATATTTTGCCTTTCATTTTTTTTTAATTTTTTATGAGATAATTACTATTAAACTAGTTGATATTTAATGTTTCAAGTTTCTAATCAATTGTATTTTAATATTTATTGTACCGAACCGTAGTTTCAGCACACTAAAAAATCACTTATCGATAATGTTTTAATCAAAACAAAACAAAAACCTTAAATAGTGGTCCTTAATATTGGAAATGTAGATTCCCAAATTTCCCTACCTACTTCCTGTTGAGACGAACTTCCAAGGTTTTTTTGTTTGTTTTCTGTTTGCAGAGTTTCCAAGGAATTTCAATGAAAATGTTATTCAATTGTTTTGTTACATTACAGGATTCCGAACCATAATCTGGCTCCATCCATATCCATCACCCCGCTGAGTTTTTTTTTTTTTTTTTTAAGGGACCGGTTGGTAACTTAGTAACTTGGTAACTTCGTCATGACAGTTCATTATTTCAGGAGTTAGGAATACTTACATAATTATTTCAATCTCCTTAGCCACCTCATGAGATTCACCAACCTAAAAATCGAGCCAGGACATACCGTGTGAAATAAGATCCTGAAAATTGTACAAGTCGCAAATAACCCCGGTGGTTTAAGTGACGGTCATACTTTGCAAACATATAAACAAGGACATTGAAATGGCCTAAAGAACAAGAGAATTACATGGTTAATTCAAATCAATGCAGAACCATGGCCAGATATGGGCATTGATTTGATAGCCGCAAGGAATGAAGACTGTTTAGAGGGGTCAGAAGACTAATCGTATATGATTGAATACTCTTTAATACAAACTGAACCCACCAAAAATTTAAAAAATAATAAAGTAATGACCCACCAAAAATTTAAACATCAATAATAAAGTAATATAGAGTTCACCTTCTTCTTTATTTTTGGCTTATTTTTTGTATGATCGAACTTACTTTGTGCCACTTTACAACATTCAAAATTTTCACTTTTTTCCATATTCTGTTAGTTTCGTAATAAAAAAATGTTAAGTTCACTTATCTGGCATAATTAGAGTAGCGGAGAAGAGAGAAGTATATACTCTTTCTCTCCAAATTTTGCGTACCTTTTACACATTATTTCTTCAATATTTTAAAAATAAATAAAAATATGACGAAACGAGAAAAAATAGACATATGCATTAGAGGGTGGCATTATGCCAGATGAAATTAGGGAAAGGGGTGGCGGACATGGCAGGAACCAGGAAGTGAGCAACCAAAATTTGCGTTTAAATATTATTTCCAACAATTTGGCTACCCGATATACGATAGGCTTTCTTCTTCCCCAGAGCATAAGATAATAAGAGCTGAAGATGTAAATACCTACCCTTCTGTATTTCTGAAAAGTTTCTACCACGCATATATGTGTGTGTGTGTGTGTGTGTGTGTGTGTGTGTGTGTGCATGTGTGTATTTTTGTTGTGTTTGTTGCTGAGATGCCACGCCATGAGTTCCCCAGAGCATAAGATAATAAGAGCTGAAGATGTAAATACCTACCCTTCTGTATTTCTGAAAAGTTTCTACCACGCATATGTGTGTGTGTGTGTGTGTGTGTGTGTGTGTGTGTGCATGTGTGTATTTTTGTTGTGTTTGTTGCTGAGATGCCACGCCATGAGTTACCCAAAACCCCAAGCAAGAACAACGTCTGCATCTTGTACATAATTAATTAACCCAATTCTTTAAAAGATATCTAGACAGTGAAATAATGATATTTGTGCTTTTATTTTTCGATACTAAACGTAAATTATCATTTTCACTGCATTGTAATGTTATAAGAGAAAAATTTAGGTAAGACAATTCTACATCGTTTACTGGAAATCTTTCACAAAAATATAAGATCCAGCTACATACTTTGGTTTTACTGGCAACATAGTGATTATCCCCATCCCGGCATGAGAGTTACTCTAATCAAACAGACTTACACAAGCTTTTTGTCTTTGAATAGATAATTAGATTGATAGGAATGCTAATATATGTGGATGGATTTGGTATGAACTAGGGTAAATTACGTACCATTTTTTGTTGTGTGTGCATGGCATGTATCTCATAAGGCATTGCAGCACAGCTCGAAACACGACGTTTCATGTTTTGCATGCTTCTGCTTCATGCTTGAATCCTTGATGCTTGTGGTCCACCGCGCAATATACGTACAGTGTTTGTAGCTTAATATACAGGCATGAAATGGATGGTTATCGAGCGTAAAGTGACAAAGACGTACGTAGGTGCTGTGCTGCTGGGTTCAATACTTTATAGGGAAATTTTATTTGAACTCCGTTTTCTTATCTTTAGACCCAATTAGAAAATTTTGTCTACCAAACTGCCAAATTCACCCTTAAATAAAAAAGAAGAAACAATTTTATAAATCCAAACACAAACAACAAAAATTTCTATCGCTACACCCATTTTATTGAATCCAGTGAACCTAACCCTAACGCCAGCAACCCTTCTCCAAACTCGTCGACACCCACCATCCCCTTACCCTCTTTTTTTTTTTTTTTTTTTTTGTTATTACATGATGAAGAAAGTACCTTCTTTTTTTCATTTGATTGGGTTATTTTTACAAGCACATGTTAGGTGGTGTTTTATTGTTTTTGAGCGGAAATTAAACAAGTACAATTCTTTTTTTTAACTTGTTAGATCTCTGTTTTTTCTCTAACAGTTAAAAATTTCTATCTTTTTCAATTTGGTTTAATGTTCAACAAATGGGTGTTGGAGTGAAAGTGAAAATGCACAGAAACCTTGCAGCTGTGGGGTTTGATAGCTTTTTTTTATTCACTAAAATCCAATGTGTATAACTTACCAAAATTAAGAAAAAGTAAAGATGTAAGCCAAGAATTCAAGAGAGAAGAGGAGACATATAAAAGAATAGTAGAGAGGGATCATGGTCGCTGACGATGTCGGAGAAGAGTTGCCGTCCTTAGGGTTGGGTTCACCATATTAAATAAAAAGGGTGTAGAGAGATTATTGTTGTTTGTGTTAGGGTTATAAAATTAATTTTTCATTTCTATTTATTCAAGGACAAATTTGGAAGTTTGGTAGATAAAGTAGGGAAGTTTGCTATTAATTTTTGGTTTCTATCAATTACTAAACTTCCAAATTTGGAAGTTTGGTATTAATTTTTGGTTAATTCCTCAATTACTAAGTAACCCCCCTTCCCTTTTCCTTTTAAGTTTGGTATCCATTAAATTATTTTTATTTTTTATATTCTTTTCTTCTCTTGTTGGATATGATGATGATATCACTTCCCTTCAAATTTTGCTTTACTTAAAAAAGGTGATGCTATTTATATACTTATTTTTATTTGGACACATTTTTTTCTTAATTTCTATCACTTAATCATCTTTAATTAATACGATCCAATAACCAAATATGTATGGAAGATAAAAATGAGTGTGAAATAGCATCACCTACCTAAAAGTTCATCATTAGTTTATGTAAAGTAAGGCAATTGAGAATATTAATGGGGACTACCGTGCACTACAAGTTTATAACATCTCTCTCTCTCTCTGTTTGGTGACTTTTGGCCTTCGAGTCCAGTGTCCACATGAGATTTGAGACGACCATGCCAATTGCCAAGTGCGAAGTGAAGTGTTTGTGGGTGGACTTTCGTTTCCATGCAAAGAGCAATTCTCGAGTGTAAATGTCCGTTCTACGGAGAGATTTTTTAATGTAACCGTCACAGGAGGTGGTATATCACGTGTTTTTATATAAATTGTGAGTTACGTATGCTAAAATATTAATAACTTAAAAATTAAAATTTTTCACCACTTGCATAAAAACACATAATGTACCATTTCTATTTCGTCACAACAAAAAATTTCTCCGGTCCTATGTGGCACTACTCTCGCAAAGACGTACGAACTCATGCGTTCAGGTCTTCTCGAATCGCGCTTCTTACGAGTGTGCTGCAGCACAGTACAGAAGCACTTGAACCGGTAAATATCTCTAGTTAGTGTTGTCATTCAACCAAAATTAATTCTTTGAAGGCCCAAATTTTAAATTTGAATTTGTATTAATAAAAAAAAAGTGGTTTGGTTCGAGATCACTGAACACCACCGCTATGTAAAACCGAACTCGATACCGAACGGTTCGGGGTCAAAATTTCTGGGCCCATTTTTTCTGGTTTTTTTTGGGTCGGGAAGAATGGGATTGGGATCTTGTATGGTATGCTCATGCTGGCGGAAAATGAATTTATATGGCAAATTGGGTTGGAGATTTTTCTTTTAAAATTTTCACTTATCAAATATTGGGCTGGAGCTGGGACAAGACTTTCTTAAAAATAAA